ACTGTCACTGTCTCCCCTGCTTGTAAACATGGTGAATGGTTAACTGTTCCTGTCTGGTTTGCAGTTTCAGATGGCACATCTCTAACATGCCCTTCCTTTAACATCACATGTCTGCCACAGCAGATCTATTGCGGTCAAATGTTTAAGTTAAACTTTACAGTGCTGCCCAAGGGCCATATGTTTAGCTTCCCAATTGTCAGGGCTGGCTAAGCTTTTGGCATGGTGTATTGCTTTGTTATATGGCCCCCTCAGCTGTGGCAGGTAATGGGATGCGTAAAATGAACTGCGCTGCAGTCCCATTTTTTGTGTACTCTGTACACCGCAGGAGGTGAAATGAATCATTTCCAGTTCGGCAGGTTTCATGTAGGCTACTGAGTTCTCACGAGTTCAGGTCACACAGGACTCGGCCAGTTCCTATAACACTTGAATGACACAAAACAAACCCCCTCTGCTTATACTCTGCAGTGAAGCCAGGAGCAGGAGGCCAGTGTGGCAGTACGATCTAATGCGGTTACATGTGTTACAGTGGAAAAGCAGAACCTGGGAATTTCTCTGTGCTTGTTTAGACCGTTTCAGCGAGCCGAGAATGGTATCAGTGTGTCAGATAACCATTTCATGTTTTCACAGCTATCTTGCAATGTGCGGTTCAGATGCACTGCCTCTCCATTTCTCATTAGTTGGCGTACTCTTTCTCAGAAAAATGTGATAATCATTAAACGATGACACTTGACACCCATTTGCTCAATTGAGCGTGTAGTACATCGATAGAACTTTTTTTGTTTGAAAGTGTGAAATTTATTATCTTGAACACGGGGTTATTGAACAAAAAAGTAATCATTTACACAGGCTTTAATTTTTTTTCTTTTAATTTTTGGTTAATATATAGGAAGATCAAATCAGGACATCGGCCATCACGCCGTCCAGATTCAGGCCAGCAGAAAGTTTTCCTCTGCAAGCAATCGTGTCCACCTTTGGTCTCCATTTGAATTCCTGTAACTGTTGTCAGACTAAGGCCTCTATCCTGTCTTAATGCACCGGTCCTCCTTCTTGACTGTGAGAAGCATCTGCACATGTGATAGTCTTTTAGATTCTCATGAAAGCAGGGGGCGAGGGAGCGCCGACCGAAATTCGCGGCGCTCAGACGAGTGAACAGCTGCCATTACAGGCAGGTGTTGCGATTCACGGACGCGTGTGACAGTTGCGAGACGCAGGCGTGAGCGTGAACGTGAAAGTGTTGCTATGGCGTTATGTTTGCAGTCCTGTGCAACACGTTGCCCACCGGCCCCGTGTGCTGCGAGGCTCAGAAGCCTGTCGCCTCTGCGGGTGCTACCTGCTGCGGGGACGGAGAGGAACGCCATGCGTTACACGAGGGGTGCAAGAAGAGCGAGACAGGTGAGCGGCCTTGCCTCTGCACTGAACTGCCAGGCAAATAATCACCGAATGCATTTATGTTTTATGCTTTTAATGCAATTATATCTTATGCGAGGGCAGCAGTGTGGTGTAGTGGGAAGGAGCAGGTCTTGTAACTAAAAGGTTGTTGGTTCGATTCCCCGCTGGGGCACTGCTGTTGTACACTTGTGCAAGATACTTAACCTTAACCCAGATTTGCCTCAGTAAATATCCTGTTGCATAAATGGATAACATGTAAAATTATAAACCTAGGTAAGTCACTCTGGCTAAAAGCATCTGCTAAGTGATGCTTATATAATATAATGGATCTTTAAGTGCTTTAAAGTGAAGCTGGCTGACCTGCTTCAGCTTCCAATGTGTAGCACCCGTCTGGGGGATCTGTGCCCATGTTTGTGCCAGAGCGGTCACCATACACCAGCTGCGGAGGAGCATGGACTAATTAGTCTCTTACACTAGCAGTATGATCTCATACTGACGAGGCATCATTAGAGGGCTGGATTGAGAGAGAGAGAGAGAACTGGAATTCCGGCCAGGACAACAGGGAACATCCTACTCTGCAGTAACAACAAAGTAAGCCATTCCTCAACAATTTGCTCTACTGGAGTGATTCACAATAGTGTTTAATCTGTTGCACTAATAGTCATTTCAATCAGCAAGTTGGTTTTTATATGTTGTTTTTTCCTGTATTATCTGCAAGTGTGAACAGGAAGTGCATTGGCAGCTGCGTGCGGACCCAGGGGCTGCCTGAATGCAACGCATGCGACAGTCTGAATGTGAAACATGCGACAGTCTGAATGTGAAACATGCGACACAGTCTACAATGCAACACATGTCTCAGATTCAGCTATGCACAGTCACAGGACAGGCCAACTGAGGACACACAACACAATGTATTGAACTCCTCTGAAGGCCTTGGTGTTTTTTTCCCCTTTGGTCTTGTGAACTAAAACCAGAAGTCAGTCAACTGCAGTGAAGAGAAGCCTTGTTCAAATACTTTAAAAAGAAGAAGGAAAAAAAAAAACACTTCACAACGAGGATCTTGTGAGATGGAAGGACTCAAATGCTTTTCCAAGCCACTGGCTTTGTTAAAGGCAATGGGTGAATAAAATAGTGTTGTCAACCACAACACACACTTTCAGCTGTTGCTAGGTTACAGCAAGAGGGTGTGCTGGGCATTTTCAGCACTGGGTAACAGGAAGAACAGAGTGGTAGCAGGGCTCTTTCATTCATTTGAAGGAGAACTGAGGAAGTATTATCAAACAGATAACTCCTAGGCTAAGAGCTAGGAGTACAAATACACATTGAGAGTTTAGGGGAAATTCATGGAAACCCACCTCCAAGCTCTGTACTGCTGCAGCTGTACTAAACTAAGACTTCAAAACAAAACAAAAACTAGGACACAACATCCACTGTGACACCAACATGTGTATTTTGCACAGTAAAAGCAGCATCTTAATTTCACATCAGTCAATATCAAAGATAATGTGTAATATTTTAACATTAATGCCTAAAGGTTTGTGTGAATTAGGTAAATTCTGAGTACAAAAAGAATGTGTTTCTGACAAAAGAAAACCAAATGAAAATGATAATCCCTTTAAAAATATAATGCTACCCCTAATTGATGAATTGCCCTTATGCTGAAAGCACCACTAGCTGTAATTCTTTAAAATGCCAACTGAACCCTTGTTCTTGGGTATGACAAATGTACTTTACACAAAAAGTAACCTGTATCATAATAATTGTTATATCCAGTTTCTTTGTGAATTACAGTATTCACAGAGAGCCCTCGTTAAAAATGCCAAACGGAACCCTCAGAGTTGCAGTCAGGGTTTGAGCTCCACGTGTTTGATCTTCAGGTGGATTCCGTTCAGAGAGCGCAGCACCAGGCGGGGGATCATTTTGGGGGTTTTTTCGGGGTCCCTCTCCAGCTTGTATTGTCTGAGAGTCAGTGCTACTGCTACTTTCATTTCATTCATGGCGAAGTTTTGTCCGATACAGTTTCTGTTTCAGGGAAAACAAAGATCATCACTATATATACTTTCTTCATCAATGCGGAATTATTTCTACAAAATAAGTATATTTTGCTGAATCTAAATCAAGCGATTTTCAGATGACTGAATCTACACAGCAAACCACAAGTGTTGTGGATTATCAGGGGTTACCAAGCAGAACTATACCAAAGATTAAACAGTGATGCAGTCCAAGATGATTTTAAAAATAACTTATGAAAGTACTTTTTGTTTAGTGTTTTCAAACTTTTTATGGAAAGAGGCAGGAAAAAACTGAAATGCCAAAAAACACTTTCATACTCAATTTCTTAAGTTAGTACAGTATATACTTGTACACACATACAAACTTATGTTTTGTGCAATTGAAGCCTGTTTTCATTTTCACAAACTATTTAAAACCTGTTGACGCTGCAGTATGCCTGTGGGAAGTTTAGTCATGTTGAAACAAACTGAAAGTATGAGTCTCACTCGAGAGCATCTAAAACATTCACTGCAATGCAAATGGCTGTGGGCAACAGCATCTTGATCTGTGATAAAACAGAGTTCCAATCTCTTATTCATGGATTCATGAAGGATCACCCTCCCTGACGATCTGGATTCAATATGTCATTTGGCGATTCTGGAATGAAACTTTGCCGCTAGAGTTCCAGGGTGCCACAGTTGACTTGTTTCGATGATAATGCTGACCACTTCTGGCAGAGTGTGCAAACGGACCACATATACTGCTGAAGCTCTCTGAAGACTGCATTTCAGGGTAAGCAAATGTTTTTTTCCTTTAAAGTATTTTTAAATTTGACTGCGCTGTCACTTTAAAAGGTAGTAAGAAGTAGGTCACTCACACCAGGCCTCCAATCCAAACACAAAGCCATTGTCAGGTAAATGAAAGCCCTCACCAGCAACTACTGTGACCTTTGTAACTTTAGAGCTGAAATCTGTTGCCAGACCTATCATGTTCTCTTTACTTTTTGCTGGATCACGTTGCATTGGCCAATACTAACCTGGGTCCGGCAGAGAAAGGCACAAAAGCATGAGGAGACCTCTTGGCACAGTTTTCCGGCAGAAACCTCAGTGGATCAAACACCTTAAGAGAAGTCAGATATTTAACAAGTTACAAAAGCTACAAATGAGAGTAAAAGGCTCTTGGCACCCTGACTTTGTTTAACAACACATTTAACAAACAACTACAGGCTTATTACTCCTATAGTAGCTGAAGTGTTTCGGAACTTACGCTGGGATTCTCCCAAACTGTCGGATTCCTGTGAATGCCGTAAACACTGGTTCCAATGAGACAACCTGCAAAGCATGAAAACATGCCTGTTCAGACTGCAGTGAATGTAATGTTTATGGCTTATTCCTGTATACACATTAATGTAAACATGCAGAGAAATGACCTATGACAGTAAATTGTGAAAATGTGTATTATTTAATATTCCTAACCATTCATTACTTACATTGCATTGTCATTTAACGGATGCTTTTATCCAGAGCAACTTACATAAGTTACAGTTTTTACGTTATCCATTTATACAGCTGGATATTTACTGAACCATTCTGGGTTAACTATGCTTCCCAAGGGTTCAGCAGTAGTGCCCCTGCAGGTAATTGAACCTGCAACCTTCCGGTTATGAGCCCTGCTCCTTACCACTACGCTACACTACCATTCATTTAACTATTCAGACAATAAGAGCACATCATTCGGTGATGAGAACAGGCGATGGGGTCCCCCTGGGCCCCTCATTTTGCCCTGTGGTCTAAAGTGCATTTAGCACTTTGTCACTCCTGGAACTCTGTTACTACTGCAAGTCCTGGCCGGTTACTCCATACATTAACTCTTTGCAGAGGAAATACTTCCAAACTTCAGTGCAGAATTTAATTTAACTTGAACTGGAATTAATGGCTGACAAAGGACAGCATCACACAGCTGCTGTGGTTTTGCACAATGTCTGTGTTTTAAACTGGATGAGTTTACTTTATAATCTCTAAGTGAAAGTTCACAGGGGAGACTGCCATTGTATGGAGCTTCTCACTACTGACTAACTTTTGCAACTGACCTTGTGACCCAGCTGCAGATGAACCTGGGTTATATTTCAAGTTTTTATAGGCCAAAACAGGTGAGAACTCAAGACGTTTAATATTAAACTTCTGGCGAGACAAAGGTCTAACTGCGAACGTTGACCTATTTTATGTTTTGTGACACAAAGATCTTTATCTTTTACAGATAAAGTTCATAATCAAAGTGTGTTTGTTTTTGTCTACTCTGAAAGAGATTAAGTCCCCACCTTCTGGAACGGTCCTCCCATCGAAGAACGTCATTGGCTTGGTGAGTTTCGGGACGTCCCGGGCACGGGGGGATAGAGGCGCAGGGATTCCTTAATGCACATTGTCGTGTATGGAATTTTACTGAGGTCCTCCCTGCGACCAAGGCAAGTTTTACACAATTAGTTTAATCTGATGGAAATTGGATTAAAATTAGAATCCTCTTAGATCAGAATTCAATTAGAATATGATGGAATATTTGCCATACATGATACGCTGTTGCAGATGTTACATTGCATTATTGTCACTTAGGAGACGCTCTTATCCAGAGCGACTTGCATAGGTTACAGTTTTATCCATTTATACAGCTGGATTTTACTGAAGCAACTGCCCAAGGGTACAACAGCAGTGCGCCAGTGGGGAATCAAACCAGCAACCATTTGATTACAGGCCCTGCTCCTTCCAATACACCACACTGTTGTCCCTATGTACATGACATTTCAGAGAGAGAAGCTGGGATCGGTGCCATAAAGCACGAGGTGCGGATATATCGGGGCCGAGCTCGTGAGGGGACGGGCTGGGTTCATGCCATACCATTCCATGGAGTCCTTCCCCTCCAGCGCCTGAGCGATCTCCTCCCTGCAGAGCTGCTGCTGCTCAGGGTGACCGGCCAGGTTGTAGAGGATCCAGGAGATGCCGCTGGCCGTGGTGTCGTGCCCCTCGAACATGAAGGTGTCGACCTCGGCCCGGATGGCCTCGTCCGAGAGCCCCTGCTGGTGCTCGTCCTGCAATGCAACCACAGCCCAATCACACCGCGCCGAAACGGCTAAAATGCCCAATCACACCGCACCGAAACAGCTAAAATGCCCAATCACACCGCGCCGAAACGGCTAAAATGCCCAATCACACCGCACCGAAACAGCTAAAATGCCCAATCAACTGCACCGAAACAGCTAAAATGCCCAATCACACCGCTACCAAACGGCTAAAATAAAATGCCCAATCGGCTAAAATGCCCAACCAACTGCACGAAACAGCTAAAATGCCCAATCAACCAACTAAAATGCCCAACCAACTGCACCGAAACAGCTAAAATGCCCAATCACACCGCACCGAAACGGCTAAAATGCCCAATCAACTGCACCGAAACAGCTAAAATGCCCAATCACACCGCACCAAAACAGCTAAAATGCCCAATAACACACCCTACTGAAAGGGCTAAAATGCCCAATCACAGCTGCTAATGATAAACAAGTAGCTTTACTCTAAGATGCTAAGTTCCACGGCACACATTTTCGAGTTAATGTCACTAAGTTTTGTGTTCTGTTTAGCTCCACGTGGAAGGGAAAACACAGGGGCGGAGGTGGGGGCATACTCTTGCACACAGTAAGATGTCCAGAAAGTCCAGGTATCGCTTCTTCTCTCTTTTGCCCAGTTCCATCTCTTCTTTGAGAGCTTCTTTTCTCTTTTTTATAACTTCCTCTGTGAAGAGAACAGATAGATGTCAAAGCCAGTACCTCAGAACTCTCGCCAAAGGCCCATATCTATGTGAACCACATGCTGGAGCCAACTGCAAAATGAAGTTAAGTTAGTTTATTAGTTTGGTTTATTTCTATTCTGTTTGTTTTTAGTTTAGTTTAGCTTAGGTTATTTTAGTGAGTCAACATCGTAGTCAGTAAGAAAATTAGCTCATAAATGTATATATTTTGCAGATTTCCTGGAACGGGGCTTCTGGTCCTGATGCATGTGACCAGGTGAGGATATGTTAACAGCTCACCTGTGTGGTGATGTGCTATCCTGCAGGCTTTGCGGAACCTGTACCCATGGGGGCTGAGGTGGAAGATTGTTTCACAGTGGTACGGAAAAGTCCGGAACCTGAGGTTTATCAGGTAACTTAGCTCATATACCGCCTGAATGTATGCATTAGTGCCACTGAAAGATAAAAAAAAAAAAAAAAAAAACATATGAGTTCTTGGTTACCAAGCTTACAGTGACATTCTCCCATGATTTTTGGCTGGACCTTCTGATTTAAAATGCACCTTCTGCAAAAATTCTAAAGCATGCAGCAGAAACCCAACCATTCCTAACCAATTTGACTTCAAATTCCAGGAACTTGACACTGTCAGCCTATCAGGCTTTGATAGGAAAGGGTTTATCTTGTAACCCCAAAACCTCGGAAATGAGGGAAATTTGTACTGCATTTTAGGGTCTGTCTCCATACTAAGTGACACTGGAAGAAGTCAAAATGAGAGCAGACTCAGACCATGGGGCTTGTGAAAGGTGACTATGTTAATATGAAGAATCCACAAACCTTTCTATCTGACAGTTGCTGTTGCTGCTGAAGGCACACTTCATAATGCTGTCAAGAGTCATCAGGCTCACGTGTTCGAAAAGCTCAAACGACTCATCTTTGTTAGCGAACGCTTCCCATTTGTCCTGTAGGAACATGTGAGGTGCAAAAAGAATGCGGTTGACATGTGTTAAACACATGTTAAACACACCTATTCACAAACCTCGTCAACCAGTTTCAGATAGCCTGCCCCCTTCCTGTGTTTGAACACTCAGGGAAGGACTGCGAACGATTAATCTCTAAAAATGAATGAAGAAAAGTGAAAAGTCAACATTAAGGTCAGCTCCATCAACACACCAGCATAGTTTTGGTGGAGTCAGCCATTAGTTTCACGTAAGGCTTCAGAACATCATAATGGAAGCCTGGAGTCAACAGTCTCCTGTGGCGAAACCACTTCTGACCTTGAGACACGAGTAACCCATCTCCTGCAAAAACACAAAAATGAGCAGAGCCTCAAAATCACTTCAGTTTTTTCCCCACTTTTAATAACCAAGCAACAGTTACATGGTGTGTACATATGGGGCTATTTATCAAGAGTGATGTCCCTCTGATCTTAGTCTGAAGAATTTCAGTAAAAATTTAAAAATTAATAAGAACTTATGTAATTATCATTATATATAATTATGACATATATTGGAATTAAACATACATTAATAGTACAATTTTCATTAAGTTCAGAGAGACATTTAAATTTGTTTAGGACAAAGCACAATAATAGTTACATTGTATATGCCCTTGGTGTAGCAACAGAGTGGCACACGTGTGTTGCATATAATGCCGTATTAATTATAAATAAACCTTAAATACCCTGCTATGCCCTGAAGTATTATGATACATTGCTGTTCTTAAACACCCTCGCAATGCTTGTCCCTGAACCAGCCATACGTAACAGAACATAACCTGGCATAAAAATAGCACTGGGGGTTAATCAGTGTTTAAATGTTTACTAAATTCCACATCTCTTCACCTTTGTGTTTCCCTCATAACCATGATAATATTTTATTGCTGCAGTTAATCCTGGCAGCAAACTTCTGACTATTTTTAATTCAATGTCATAGTTGATTAACAGAAATGTTAAATTTCCTTTTTTCCAAACATATTTTGAGAGACCCACATAATTTTTTATCATACCTTAATGCACACAACTCTCAGAATAACACATACATATAAATAAAGAGTAAAAGTATTTACTACAAATAATAAACACTGAATACAGAACTCACCTATCCAAGGAATAAGGAATTGATATGCAATATCATCTTTGGGTTCTGTTATGAGAAAAAACAGTATTATAGAAATTACTGTACCTTCCCAGAATAGAAGAGCAAATACACATTGAAGAACCAAGCTTCACGTTATCTAGAATTGTGTACACAGCGTACCCGTTGATGCCAGAATGGTCTTCACATAATCCGGGTGATGGATATTCAAGAAGGCAACGAATGGTCCGAACCACATCGGATACGCCAGAGGGTACTTCTCTCCCCATATTAAAACTTTGTCTAAATCCGTCCCATCTTGCCGAAACTGCAATGCACATGAAGTTGGTGTGAGGGGATGTCTGAGATGTAGGCCTGGTAAGCCCCGAGAGGTTTCCACCTATCCACCACTAAACCTTTTTTCGCTTGGGATTTTACATATATTCGCACAGAATGCAGAGGTTTAGCAAAACAAACGCATCGCCACTGCAAACAAGACCGAATCTCGCCTGTCTGCCTTAGCTGCTGGCCATTTCTGTATGGAGGATACTTTGCGCCGAATCGAAAATGGTACTCCAACTGGAAATAACTGTGTGACGCATTCACTTAGTTAGTGCTTCACAGTGTGGCTGAGTTGCCTCAGATTTTTCAAAAAGCAACACAATCGAGAAAATTACGATAAGTGTACCTTTGCATTGGGAAAAGAAAAAAGACACACTCGTGCCTTTCGCATTTGGACACAGATCTGCATTCATATCTCAAACGCTGCAGTTAATTACTTGTTTGTACGCAGCTTCACTGTAAGATGACAGACCTGAGATGAACTCTAAGCGTGGTCTGCATCGCAATATGAA